GACGCAACAATACCTTTATAAGCAAAATTATTTTGATTATTTCCAATTCTTTGGTCATACATTGCAAAACTGGAAAACTTGCTCATTATTAAGCTAATAAAGCTCTTCAAAATATTATATTAATAAAAAATAGAGTAAAATTTATATTAATCATACTGACAAGATAGCAAAAGCTCTAGGTACTTGGACTTTTTGTTGTATAGGCCTTAATAAAAAAAAATCATAAACCTGTTATTAAAAGTAAATGAAAGCAATTTGTAAATTTTCTTGTGTTTCTTCATGATACATTGCATAATTTGAATATCTTCCTCACCTGTAAGTTTTGGACATAATAGTACCAAATTAGTACCAACAAGAAGTCAAATTTTACTCCCACTCTTTTGCAAATTATCATACAAATGATTCACAAGTTTGTTTTAGAGCAAATCCACATTGAGCTATCTCCTATGTCCACCAGGAGGAATCAAACCCAAGGTTTTACCATTGTAAATCGGTAAACTTACTGCTGTCCCCTGGGGAACTTATTCATAATAATATTTTTGAATGTTATTCCAAATAATTTATGGCAAAGAAATGCATCATTATAAAAAAACAAACTAATTGAAATTATTCTTTTTTGCATCATGTAATCCAGTATTGTCATTTTCTATTTTTTCATCATATTAAGTGCTTATAATAAAACTGGTATGGTCTTTAGGTTTTCTTTGAAACATCTAGTAAAGCGCTACCTAAAACTCTGCATATACATAATTTAGTTTTTTCAAATCAAGTTAATATTTTCTAGTAAAGCTAGATAATAGATACTTGAGTGAATGAAGATCATTAGGAAGAGTAATTTACTATTAACTGGAGTACAAAGCCAATGACGATTTATTATGGATGCAACTCTTTCATAACAAGAAAACTGAACACATCTTTACTCAAGTAATATTATTAAAAATACAGTACAGATATCTGTACTAAATTAGATATTCTATATGAACAGATAATCCCAATCTTAAATTGCATTAATCATATCATTGAACAATTAAGTTATTGAACTAGCCTTCAATAACATAGTGGTCATTTGGGAAGATTAGGTTGCTAAAGAACCCTTATCTTCATTTATTTATCTGAAGGATTGATCCAATAATATGTACTTGTCACTCAGCATCGTGAAGTTTAGGACTGTATAAAATGTCAATCATGAAGCTGAAGCTGCAAGTTCTACTTTGTTGCTGTTTCACAGAGAAGACGAACACCAGCAGGAATAGAGATTTTTGTTGTTCTTTCAGTTTGTTTCTTCTGGTCAAGTTTCACATTCTGAGCACAATTCTTAGAACCTCTGCTAATTTGGTTTTAGTACTAAGTTCTGTTTTGCCTGAAAACTTATAAACAAGTACTTGTTGAAATTCACAAAAGTTTTGAACAGAATTATAAAGTTAACTCTAATGAAACATTATTAACATTTCTTGAAACAATAAAAACTATAGTACTGAAAAAAATAATTACCTTTAAAAATTTTATTAACAACGTTTTTTGCATCCTCTACTAATTATAACATTACGTTATTAAACAAATACTGCATTCAAAAACAAAGAAACTTTTTTTTTATTGCTTCAAGAGCACTCACTCATGTGAACATTTATATAATGTGTTGTTCTGGAAACACATTTTAATTATTGTACTGAAGTACTAATAATTATTTTATACTTTAGGAATCTATATATTTAGGAAACCAAAGTTACTCAAGGTGTTAAAAAGGTGCATGGAATGTAGATCCAAGAATATGCTGACAATATGGAAGGTGGGAAGCACACTAACAAATGATGAATATTCAGTCATGCATTGAATAATATTAATTCAGGTAAAACTTGTACGTTAAAAAAAGATTTCCCATAAAGTATGATAGCTTTGTTATTGCAAAAAGCCTATATAAAACAACAAATTATCATGTGTTTATTTTACATGATGTATGTGAATTAATTCTGTCAGTATACAAAATTTTCATACTACACAATAAACAATTTCAATTCATGTGAATCATTCTTTGTCTTTTTCATACTGTGAGATATTAATAACAACAACCTATTCCTCAATTTAAGGGGTTGTTAGAGTTTTCAAAATTGTTGTATTTTCCCACCAATTTCAAGTGAAAGAAAATGCTTAATGTAACATTTAGTTTGACCCACTATAACAGTTTGGGGAAATATCAGCCCTCACTATTAACCGCATGATAGGCCAAAGAAAAAGATATAGTTAGGAACTTTTATTTAAAGAATTGGTTTTAATTAATGTGACTTAATTTTGTTTAATATTTTTTCTCACCGAGTGACACTATTCAACATTATCAATTATATAAATCTCTGTAGTATCCATTGATCAAAGTTGATGTTCTATTCTTTCCTATTCATTTTTACAATTGAAGATGTAGTGGTAGTATGCTCACCTTCTTTTATATTTTGCAATGAAACAATCACATTTTATGTTTAATAATAAAAATCTATGAGCAATGATGGGGTGGTTATAAATTAAAGACTTGCTCCCAACCTTACTAACCATTTTTCTATACTTCCATAAAGAAATTTGGTTTCAATTCTGTCTTTAATGTTTTAAGCCTACATATTAAGAGATATGTTGGTAACACTTCTGTGGTCTTTAACAATTTTGAGTCAATTAATAACTTATCAAGATTTTAAATGGTAATCATCCCAATATAAAGTTCACTGAAAATCAACTGAATGACAAACTCATTCTTAGGTATTCACGTCTTAAATAACCAGGCATACTTACCACTAAAAAGTATCATAAACCCACTTTCAGTGGATTTTATTCATATTTTGAAAGGTTTTCTTCAAGAACACCTGGTTAAAACTATGTTATACAGAGCTATTAAGATATCAGGAAATCAAAGCAGAAGTTGAGAACTTTAAACAAATACTAAGAATAAACTTTTTCCTGCTTTCATTCCTAAATAAATAATCCACACAAAATCTGAAACTAATACCCCATCTGTTGTTATGCTAGATGTACCAAAGCAAACTATTACTTCAGCCATACCTTACTTGGCACTATTTCATACACGATTAAGAGGAAAATGATCAAATAGCTCTACCCACAAGTTCAGTTAAAATGTGTCTTTAAAACAATGTATAGGTTAACATAGCTCTTCAAATTTAAAGACAAACAACATCCATTGAATACCTTGTTAATCATATAAGCATTCATGTGCCTGAGATGCAACCAGGGCAATATTACATCAACCACAGAACAGGATTAGAAGTTAACTTTTCAGGCAGTAGTTAGAATTTGCTATCTGCCTGAATATTGATAATAAAAGAATCTTATTCACTAGCTGTTTACACATATGAAAATACGTTTATAAAAAAGTAAAAATGTTAACTGCATTTTTAAACAGATTGGATAATATTTCCTGTAATATCTTGTGTTACTGTTTGTGACTTTGGTACAATAATTTTTACATATACTACAAATTCTGATTATGCCTTTAGAACTAAAACTTCTTTTATATTAAGAGTACTGTAAAATATATATATTAAACACTGTAAGTGAAAACCATTATTCTATCAGTTCTAACACCTTTTCTAAGCTGGCAAAACATGATTATCATTTATGATAATTGTCATAAGAAATTAGTATTGCCATATCTATTGCTGACAATGAGTTTTGTTAAATCCTGTGTTTGTTATGTCTCAGTCAATCTGACAATCTATGAATTGAATGAAATGTGCTGTCGGAAATGGATATGGCAAACATAGTGTTGTTGAAATACAATTATTATACATTTTTCTAATTCTTGAAAATTCTTAAGGGACTAGATGAAGAATGTAGTGTTAAAAATATAATAGGCCTAATACTAATGTCAAGTATAATTAATTCTGATCTGATTCTATTCTTCAAACTTATAGTTATTCAAATGCGACTTACTGTTCCAGTTTCCATGAATCTTGTTTGCCTTACAATCACAACTGAGCTACTTAGAAAACAAAAGAAAAAACCTCATTGTGGTACAGTACCACTAAATTTAAAAGATTTGTGCAACATTGTGTTATATTAAACTACACATACTCATAAATATCTACAAATTAATCAATAGCTATAGTGTTTTAATTGATGTAATATTCATATATTAAACCCCTATTCTGCATTTTCACTCCTTTCCTTTAGCCATTATTTCAAAATTTTATCAACCATTTTAATTTCATACAATTTTAAGGAATTATACTGATGCAACTTTTACAGCATGTAGTAAAATATATCAGTCCAATATTGGAAACTGGTCAAGTTAAAATGCTGGTTACATTTTATAAAATATTCTGTCATTTATATCTTGCATGTGCTTGAAAGTACATAACATGGTTTGTAGCACTTTTCCTAAAAGTGCATTTTACTTGTTAAAATAAAAAGAGTTAAGGTAGTAGGATGCATTACAAAAAATAAACATACAACACAGAATTCAATGCATTTCTCAAGATTTCATTTCTTACTTCTGTTTAAGATAAGTAATATTTAGCTCCCTAATTTTAATTTTAGGGTTGTTGGGAGCAGAAATCAGGAGGCTCTATTAGCAATAACTTTCTACTATATATAAATGTTAAAACCTGTGTTTAAAAAAAAAGTATGCACTCACACATGCTGTACTTAAGGTATCACTCAAATGCTACTGCATCAAATAACTAGTAGCAAATTAACAGCTTTAGGTATAAAAATGCTACCAGATATACTTTAACTTTGAACCTTATACTAGAAGTTGAATCAAAGAACACTCACTGTACCACTAAAACCTACAACTCCAGTAGTATTACCAACTACCTCCAGTTTTTCTGCATCACTCTCCACCTGCAGGAAGAATTCCACCTTGGATGCTAGAATCTCTTGTCATTAAATTAAGAAAATCAGCTCTTAACCAGATGATGAGCACACAACAACAACAATCTTCAATTATGAAAACTCAAACAAAAGAGCAGAACATGAACTTTGATCACTGAATATGAGTATAGAACAGTGTTCGAGGGGAGTGGGATATAAAAGGAGACATTTGAATACCAATCACTCAAATTAAATCTAGTTTTAAATATAATTTTATCACATTTAAACTCTGGTCTATTTCAGAGTGGTATTCTCCAAACCATGTTTAACCCACTTAAGTAAGTAAATATAAAGAATTAATCAAGCTTTCAAGTCTTTCCACTCTCGTGGTGATGATAAGTACAGCATATTTCAAAGATTTTATCAAACAGAAATAGATTTATTTACACTAACAATCAGTGTATATTGTTTCTATCAATGCCACTAGGTACAAGATGTGATTGTAAATTCCATTCATAACTTCTTTTAATAATCACATTTTACATCCTATAACCAAATCAACATTAAGCTCAAAAAAGAAAAAGATTAAGATGTTTAAGTGAGAAAATAAAAAATGCACATGACAATAGCAGCTTGGAGAGAGATGTTTTGGATAAATACACACAGTTTCTCATACAATATTTATGATACGAGACTTTTGAAATTACAAAAAAAATCAAAATACAAGTTTTATGATACGAGACTTCTGAGATGGCAAAAAAAAATAGAAGTTTAAATATTTTTACCTTGGTCCCTCACATACATTTCTAATCTACAGTAGGTATCAAGAAACCAAACTTAGATCTTAAGAGGGGACAATACTGTCTGAGTTCTAAGATGTATACTTTTATAAAATCATTATAACCATTTTAACTATGCTTTATTTTTTATTGAAAGACAAATATTATCAAACATGTCTAACAGAAACTCATAACTGGATTTTCTTATGTTTTGTTTGATTTAAACATTGCTAAACATACTTTATAAGCACTCTATTTCACACAAAAAAAAATTAGTTTCACAAGAGAAACAAACTAATTTTGTTTCCTTGCATTTATAGGTAGGTTTTAAATTCAATATGTTTATTAAGGACCTACAGTTTAACTTTAGATCAACCTTTTAATTATTAATGGTAATTAGAAAGCCTCACAACTAGCAGTGTAATGGACCAAATCATTTTAGTTATGAAGGTGTTAATTACTGAAATGGAACTGCTCAGAAAATTTTGACCTCAAATCACAAGCTACTTTGAACCATATTTTGTGTTTTCACCATGTGACATTTAGGTTCTGCCTCCAAACTACAAAAAGGAAAGAGAACATGCACAAATGTTTTTATGTGAAATATGGGTCAGAGACAGTATCCTAAGAAGTTGCAAAATAGGAAGATAAAAAGAAAGGGTTAATTTAAAATACACAAAGTAAGCAATGGAAGCAGGTGAAGAATAAAAACAAACTAAATCAATTAGTGAGTGCTCAAAACATCAATACTTTATACTAGATCTATCTAAATAAAAAATACAGTTGTAATATATTAATTACTGATTAATTGTACATGAAAATAGATACAAAAGACTTAGAAGACAATTCCTATTAAATAAGTTAGTTTATAACAATTCATTAAGTAGGTCTCTTCACACATCAGTGTGTAATAAGTAATGTATTTTTATTTCTAAATTACAATTTCACTAATAAAAGAAATAATTAAAATTTATACTTGACTAATATCATTATTAACTGTAGACAAAAGTATAAAAAGTAATCTACACTGATGTCAGTTTACACCTTGCAGTTACCATGTTGGTAGGTACTGCAGCCTAACACTCAGCTGTAAACTGGAATAGGCCTAATTTTTTGCACAATATATCTTAGTAGAAAACAATACAATAACAACACATTCATATTGTTTACTTTATGTTTATGACCACTATTTTGTAAATGAATATAGATTTTGTCTTACACAGTAGGTAAACACTCATCTCTAACAGGTAATGCACTTCGATATCTTACTGATAAAGCTGAACCTAAGCCACTAATCACATGATGCAATTAATTAGTTAATTCAGGCTCTGCCTCTGCTTCAAGACATTTTCTGAATAGTCTACTATTTTCCCCAATAATACATTGTTTTACATCAAAAGAGTAACTTCTTCAATCATAAGGAGGTATTAGAGTATATGCCTCATCATATTTCACTAAATTTGTGAGTTTAATGAGAATATGTCAGATCATATTGCCTTAAGTTAACCTTTATATATCAAAATTGTATAATATCTCATTATAACAATAACGAATAATTAAATACTTCTTTTCAACAATTGTTAACACTAGTCAAGTTAAATTTACAGTAAACTACATTCTACAGTTTCACAAATAATAAATCTTCAATTGAAGTGGAACTATTTTTTTTCAGTCTAAAATGTTTATCATAAAAAAACAAAGTCATACTTTACTCATATCTTTAATACATTCTGAAATGAACTTTAAATAGCATAAAATGGTTTATACATTAATCACTCTCACACATATACAGATGCCTCTTATGAGTCATGTCTGTAGTTAATTAGCTATGTAACAAACAGTTTTTATTACTGTAATCTGAGATCACATTGAAATTTCTTTCTCTATTACACTGCCATCTTCTTGTCCAAAGTAAGCTCTCTTAGCCATGTCTATAAAAAGTCCAGTCTCCACAACCCCTGAAAAACAATTTTAATCAGCTTATAAATAAAAAAAATGATTTACAAGAGCCTCTGTGTTTCATTATATCTTGCTAGTTCTTTTTCTCGAAAACCGAAAGAAAAAGTTGAATCTCAATGAAACAATATATCCATACAACATATACAAAGTAATAATATATTTTCTTTATAGTTTATCAAGACTGTAAATTTGATATTGTAGTATACAATGTTTGCTACCCCTTATTTAATGTAGAAGTCTTAAAAACTTTTCATTTTTCAAGTATGTACAGTTTTTTCCATAACATGTGATCAAGAATTCTTTGATAGCTTGTTTAGGTAGAGTATTCATGATGAAATTTAGTTGAAATGGACAGCAACTGCCTATTGTAGAAAACGAAAGGCATAAGACTTTTGAAACATCATCCTCTACACTTGTGTTTCTACAACAGGCAGTTGCCATTCATTCAACTAAATTTCATGTGGTTAAGAAAGTTGTTAATCCACTTTTGTTCTAGTTACTCATTGTTCTGTGTCATTCTCCCGGGGATAGCACATGGTTTGCCAATGGGGAAGATACCTGTAAGGTTGCACATAGTGCATGAAAGTAGACAGCAGTTTCCTCCAATGGTAGGTGAGGTAATATTTTGCAGTTACAACCTATCTTATTTTCTAATGAGAAGAACAGTCACATGGGTAGTATTAATCACTCTGGAAAAGTATGTTATTGTTTTAAGCATTTATAACAAAATGCTTTCTCAGACTAGAACAGAAAATCAATAGATTTTGGTGGAGTCTAAAGTTTTCTTTGGAATACAGAGATACAGCTTTAAAGATCGTGAGCTAACATTCTCCAGTAAAGGTGAATGTGCTTTGTGTTAAGACACACACCATTGTGTTAATGAATAAAGACTTTTTTCATTGTATTCAGTCTCTTTCTGTGCCAAAACTCAGTTAGTTTCACAGAAATTCAGGATTACTTTGCAATATTTCCTGGTCAAATCACCCATTATATAGGACCTACCTTATTTACTCTTGGAGAAAATAAGTTTCACCTGTTGTATTTCCTAAATGACAATAATATTTTATATCAAAAAATACTAACTGGAGGAAATAATAAATTAGATCATTAGACAACTATCTGCCCACTGAATGCATCTCAAGGTAATTTTACTCGCAAATAATCATACAATTTGACACATTCTTGGGGGGGCTTATCATATAAATTTTTAAATTGAAATTTTCACAAGCTGTATTGTAATAACAGAGCAGGAAGAATAATTTGTGTTGTAAAATTGTGTTCTAAGGTAACTGAACCGTTTGTGTGGACTTTGATTAAAAGAGACAATTATTTAAAGCTCTGGATACAGCTGTGATAACCTAAAGTATAAAGAACATTTATATATATGTTTGACTTGTTTTAATATATTACTTTAAAAGAAGTGGACTGTGCACTGTTTATTTATTATTGAAATTTATTGCCAACAAGTCACAGACACTTACTGTAAAAAATCAGGCCCATACATAAAACCTGACGTTATCTATGTTTCTAAATATTTTTGAATTGACAAGATAATTACAGCCATATACAGAGTATTCCATATCTGTTTCTTGATGTTAACTTATTAATACCCACCTGGAATCATCTTGATTGTCTGGTTTATAACTGTCCATTCTCTAACCTCAGAAAATTTCCAGTCAATAATAAAGTTACCATTATCAGTAATCACTGGACCCTAAAAAATATAGTAAAATGTTAAATTATTGCTTAAGATATGGCAAAAGCTACTCACAAGACTTTTTCTTTTATAAAGATAAGATTCTTAATTTTACTTATTGTATTTACAATTTTTTTCATAAAATCTAAAATTTGTTAATTATATCATACTAAATATTGTCAATAATTTGTTTTTAAATGTTTTGAAAGCAAACTTTAAGTGTGAGCAGAAGTATTACTGGAAATACATTTTCAATTTAAGAAAATGTTAAATTCCAAAACATACTTACCTCTTCTCATACTGCAGCTACAATCCCATACTGATAAGTTGGAGGGCTTGGTGAAGGCATTATCCAAAGTGCATATGCATAGACCGTGGGTGTGCCAATAGAGGCTTAGCACCCTAATGGGGGAACCACACTACATCAAGAACAGGTATACTCTTGAACTGGAACTTAAATTGTGCCATTTGGGTGGAATTTGATGTGATCCGTTATCACTCTAGGCCAGGCCCCAACCATATAGCTGAGGTTCCACTGCTCGGGGTTGGTATTATATGGTCATGGTTCCTAAATCCCACATTGGTGGTTAGGACATTTGGACCGCAATATATATTTGCGAGTGGATCCCAACACCTGGGAAAAACATCCACGGACCTGGGTAGGAGGTCCCCCATCTTCGCCCTCTTTTCGAAGAGTGGATAAAAGTCACTCGACACTCTGGAGGAATACCCTCTGTCCACCTTCCCAGTGACTTGAAACTGGGCATGGTAAGGACTCCCTAGCTCCACTAGTAGGAAACAAGGGGGTAGTTTATTAAAAATTAATTCACTAAAATAATATGATTTTTGTATGTGAAAGACTTATAATATGAACTAAAAACTAAATGACTGCCAAATTTTATGAAGATGTACACACTATATTGAAAGTTAGAAGTATTAAATTTATAAAGACTAATCGAGTACAAAGAGGTTACGTGGTCAGTCAAATTGACCAAGCCTGTGTTGAGAAAATTAATGTGGAATTCTAGTTAAAATGAGTGCTGAGATGAATTATTGTCTCAGAAGTTAACATTTTCCTTACCTGAAAATGTCTTTTTGATATGGCCTTACCTCTACTAACACACACACACAAAGGTATCTTAATCTTCTTCTGCCCTCTAAGCATTGCTAAAACATTTTTACAAACAGCCCAGCAGTCTATATACCCCATCAATTTCGCACCTTTTATGAACATGTACATATTATGTGACTACTCTCCACCAATAGTATTGTGCCACCTATGTTGGTGCAGCTAGCTCCCTATGCTATTCCCACTCAAACTTCACTTTCTTGATTGACATACCATTGTTTAGATATGTGTTTTTTTGCATGTTACTACTGTTTATGAACATGCTTCTTTGCCATTTTTTTTTCCTGACAGTTTTACTGCATTTGCATTAACTTTTTTCCAAAATTTTTTTGCATTTATTTCTTGTTACCGAATTACAAGAGATCTTAGTATGAACTTGCAATCAATATATTGACTATGGAAATTCCTGTTACAGTTAAAAATGCTACTGGTATGGCTTACCAAGAATCTGGTTCAACTTTACCTGCAGAGAAGGTACAGGCCTTAATTTTCAGGGAGCTATGTTCATATGTTCCTTCCCCCTCCCATTTTCTTCCAGTGGAGTATGGGAGTCTGTACCACTTTCCAGTTCCCAATCTCTGGGGTGGTGAACCATGGAGGCTTCCTCCTGAGTGAGTTTAGAAATTTACTTTACCACACATACTCATGATTTTCCACCCAGTGAGAAGAGGGCAAAGCTGGTTTCCCTCCTTACATTTCTCCTGGATGTATTTTCTCAGGTGGACAGCTGTCGATTGGAGCAGGTTCAGCCTATGTGATATCCTACATGTAATACTGGGTTTGGGATGATACTGCTCTGTTCCTAGAGTTGGGTGCAGTTGAGGCCTATCTTCTCGATAATTCTAGTTGCAGGTAGTTCTTTCCCTACTCCTACGGTTGAGCTTGGTGGACTTTGTCTGCCTCGTAATGCTGGCTATAGGACATACATACACTGTTTCTATGATTGAGCAAATGTTTACGTCCTCCTCCTAATTCGGATGAAGGATGTCTTGTCCCTGCATTTAAAGTTTAGTGATATATGATTTCTACTCGTAATACTAGTTATAGATATTGCCCTGTTCTTATGGCAATGCCATGACCCAGTAATGCCAGATTTGGTTTATTGTACTTCCTGCTCCCACGGTTGTTTTAGGAGTTTGTCTGGTTTTGGCCAAAAGCTAACTTTCTCTTTGTAATTCTGGTTGCCTGACATATGAAACTCTGTTTATCTACTGTTGGGGCTGATGATTATATATAACACAGTCATACTTGCTCTAGCCACTATGTTTATATTGTCATATATTACATTATGTTACAATATATATACACTGAGTGGTCACAAGTAAATAGACACTTAATTTTTTGTCATTTAACTGATTTATGCTAACTAATTTGTATTTACAGAGCACTATATAAATGAAAATGGTCTGCACACTAATTATCTTGCGCTACGACATGCCTAGAACTCAAGGTTCTCTCGAATTGTCAGATTTTGTTAGAGGAAGGATAGTTGGTCAAGTGGAATAAGTCACCGGCAAATTTCGCAGAATTTGGGAATCCTGCTTTCAACAGTCAACAGAATCATCGTGCAGTTCAGGAAACATGGCAAGGAAACAACTGAGCAGCGTCTGGGTCGTCCTGGTCCATCGGAGAGGACAAAAAGGGCTGTCAAGAGGAGCAACGAAATGGATCCCAGATTAACGACTGCAGAAGTGGCCAAAGTTGGTGGGATGAGCCCGAAATCTGTTCAATGGATTCTCCACAGATTGGGTTATCGTTGCAGAGCAACTAGACGGAAGCCCTTATTAAGACCTGCCAACATAGTCAGACGAAAGAAGTGGGCAAGTGATATGATGGCCAAACCTTTGGACTTTTGGAAGACCGTATTGTTCTCAGACGAATCAAGATTCGCTCAGTTTTCTGACA